TGCACTTACAGTAGAAGCTTTCTTGGCAGACTGAAAGTTCATTTTGTTCAAATGACAATTACTCAAGAAAAACACATATACTACATCTACTTTTCCCAGCAAATAATTAAAAAAACAAATCGCAAAGTGGGATATTTCCAATTTGTCTCCATATGGAAAAAGTTGCCGTTTCCCAGAAAGTTGATGTTCAATAAATTTGTCTTTTAGAAATTTGAGAAATCATATGGCAATTATGCCTTGTGGGTTTTTTTATTTGTTTGTTTGTTTGTTTGTTTATAATTAGGGAACTAAGTCAAGCTATCAGAAAGCAACAAAAATTTGGCACAAGCCCTACAGTGTTTGGGAATGAGAGGGTCCTGTTGGGATGGCTACTGTTTCTTCAGTACAGTACAGAGTTGCCGTCACCAAACTCCTCAAATTTGAGTCAGCTGGGAGTTAACTGAAAACCCAGGCATATTCAATGGTTAATGAATTTTGTGTGTTCTGTAAGTCACTAAAATTTGAGTTCAAGTAGTATTTTCTGAATTAATTAAGGACACATTAGATTCTGCCCAAAGTTGGATTATGTGGGAAAGGGAATTTAACATATCTGAGAAATTAATTTATCAATGACATGAGCTTTGTACAAGAGAAAGCTCGTATTATCATTTTTTAAAAATGGCATTCAACTTTAATTTAAATGATTGCAGGCATGATTATTGCACTTGGCTTCCTGATGAAGACATAACTTCAAGGCAAATTTTTCTCTTTTCAGCTAAGAAACACGATAGTAGTGAAAGGTTTGAAGTATTAAAGAAATATTAGTACTGGAAAAGATATGTGAGCTTTCTTAAACTTCTCATTTGACAAACAAGACCCAGAGAAGGACAGAGAATTATCTGATGTCACACAGTTACTTTTTCCCAGAGCTAGTACCACAGTTGCCTGGGCAATTTTCTGACTTTTGTGATTAAATGGATTCTATGTTTCACCAGACGAGGCTATCTGGAGAGATTCTGCCTTCATCCTTGCCAACATCTTTGATTCAGGCCCATGTAAGACCTGAGAGTCCAGAATAAAATAAATCACAAGCGAAAACTAAAAAATTGAGCAGGTCAGGATCCCAAGGCAAAGAACTTGACATACTGGACTTTGACTGAAAACAAAAATGTGTTTTGTCACAGATGGTCAGTCAGCAAGGCGGAGTGCGGAGAGGGTATAGGATTTAAACCAGATGGAACTGGATCGAGGTCTTGGCTCTGGTTGGCATTAACCCTGCAGCTTTGGACCAGGCACCTAACCTCAGATGCTACCTCGTCTGGAGAGTAGAGATGACAGTATTATTTTATTCATAACTAAAGTTATGTGCCTGTGACACACACACACACACACACACACACACACACACGTTGATTTTAATCTCATCAGACTTTATGAGGTGGACTACTAGCACCACTATTTCCTTAGTCAGAAAGACTGGAGCACAGAGAGGTTGAGTAAGCTGTCCAAAGTCACATACTTAGCAAGAGATGATCTGGGATTTGAAAGGAGATCTGTTTGGCTCCAAAGCTCATCCCCTCAGCTGCTGCAATATTGCAGGATTGGTAAAAATGTAAGCCAAGAGCCCAGCATGCTGCCTGACCCTGGATAAATAGTGGTTACTTAGATGAAGCAGCAGATTTAGAAAGATGGCCGACTCCCTGCAGTCCAGCCATGGGGAGGTGGGATGAGGGGGCTAAGATAGCTAAGAGAGGGAGAGCAGCCCAGCACGATGGCTCAGGCCTGTAATCCTAGCACTTTGGGAAGCTGAAATGGGGGGATTGCTTGAGGCCAGGAATTTAAGATCAAGCTGGGCAATACAGCAAGACTTTGGCTCTGCAAAACAATTAAAAATTAGCCGGGCATGGTGGTGCATGCCTGTATACCTAGCTACTCAGGAGGCAGAGGCAGGAAGATTGATTGAGCCCAGGGGTTCAAGGTTACAGTGAGCTATGATAGGGTCACACTGCACTCTGGCCCAAGGTAAGACCTTCTCTCTAAAATTTAAAAAGAGAGAGAGAGCGTGAGTGAAAGAAAGCCCTGGGAAGTTGAAGTTTTGAGAGGTTGAGAGGGACACATGACACATGGGCAGCAGGCCATCAGCTGGCCTGGAGCACTCCTGAGGGTCCACTGGATCACCCACAGGCCCTGGGGACAAGGGGGCCACCAGCTCTGTCAGGAGCCACTGCATCATCTCTCCTCTGTCTGCATTTCTCACACTTTGTTTCTGTGTTAATACCCATCCTGTACTGACCTTCCCAAGCCACTGAACTGATGGCCATACCTCAAATATTTGAAATGAATATTCTGGCCTTAAATGAGCAGTCTTTCTACACATGAAGAAACGTGTTTTCTTAATCATCTCTACTACCAGGGCTTGTGAAGGCTCAGCTCTCCAGCTGCCACATTCCTGCCCCTAGAGATCATGCACTACCTTCAAGAAGACATAAATTACTCTGTTATGGGAATTTAAAATTAAGAAATATTCTAGAACCAAGATAATCAAAATGTGATCAACCTTCTTGCCAAGTTTGCCAGCCGGTTCCATGAATCACAGCTGTAACGCCCTCTTACAAGGCCAGAAGAAATGCTGGAGCCCTTGCCCCCTGTGAGGTTTACTCCAGGAGCCCCGACATAGCCTTGCCCCCCAACACTCACCCTTTCAGTGGTGTGAGAAGCAGGAAAGGGACTGAGGGGCTTTCCCGGTTAGATTTGCAATTTTTTTTTTTTTTAATCCATAGAAGTCAGATATCTAAACAAGTGTCATCCCCCATTTGGAGATGAGGATTGAAAGGGAATGAAGAATTTCTGGACTTGTTTGAATTTTCATACACATTTTGGCAACACCTTTCAAACTGCCAGCTCGGCCTGTGACATACAACATTCCTCTCCATATATGCCCTGGTGGCAAGGTTTTATACTTTAAGTGAAGATTTAATTTCTGTAACCAGCTGAATGTTCTTTTGGAGTCAAGTTGAGCTGAGAGAATAGATGGCCAGGCTAGAGAATGGAATTTCAAGTTTAAACGAAAGACTTTGATCACTGTTGGAGCAGAAATGGTATCTACAGCATCGAGGTGCGCAATAATTTCCGGGCAGAGGAAACGAGGTACAACTTTAAGGCATTGCTCTTCTGTGTCTCACAAGGTCATTGCTTAGACAGTGAAGAACTGAATCCTGTGCAAGCCCACTCTTTAGTCAGTTACTCACGCAATGACGTCTTTCTCGGGCTGCATTGAGACCCCTTGCTAAGCTACCTGCTTGTGTCTTGCTCACAGTAGGAATTAAATGCAAATTTGCAGAATGAAAGCTCATAGAGGAAAACCAACATCTCATCCTATCTCCTGAGTTGCAGCGCACCCCTGAGGCAGCCCTCCTCTCTGTCTTATCCAACTCTAACGTAGCAAGAGTGGAAATCAGCCCTTCACAAACATTGCAGCCCATAACAAAAAGATAAATTTTAGAATGCCAGTTGTAACAGAGCAGGTAAGTTTCTGGGAATAATAGCTTATGTTCTGGAATTGTTTTTGGAGGTTCCTCCTCATCAGTGACCTTAGCTGTAGCCTTCAGCGGTAAGCTGAGTTGCTAACAACATACCATCCTCCAATCCACTCGTCCTCGGGATTTGCACAGTTTATACTATCCTAAAAATAAAGTTATTAAAAGCAACAAAAGTCTGACATTATGTCTTCTACAGTTTAAATTAATGTTTCCTGTGAATGACCACATTTGGAGGCTGGAGGCTCTGGATTTGAATTTGAGACAAATAAGAGATGAGTGGGAAGATTCAGGGAAAACTGGAAGAAGGGATTCATAAATAATGTTATATTAGCTGTCACTATGCTTGGCCACTTCTATTATTATAAGTAAAACCTACCACCCTACAAAACAGGTACAGGTTATGATTCTCACTTCACAAGTGAACCCTCAGCTCAGAGTAGGTGGGTACTTGCTTCAGAGAACAAGTAAGCTGGCTTGAGCCAGCCCAACTCACTGCAATGCCCCTCTTACATATTTGGTTTAGAAGGCTGGTGCACATGCTCAGGAAGTGAACATATGTAACCAAAGCAGAATGTCGTATTAGCCTCTGGTCCTAAAAGGGGGTTGCAGTGTTAGGTGTCAGCTCCGCTCACTAGGACCAAGCAAGGATATGCCTTTCTGGACTTCAGGGTCCTCCTTTTCCAGGCAGAAAACACAGTGACCTACTTTGCAGGACTTTCAGAGGCAACTGTTTTAAAGAAAGTTGCAAAGACAAAGGCTTTGGCTAAAGAACAAGAAAGCAATGGATCCATGAAACTAGAAGGGTGCCTTCTCTGATCCAAACCTGAACAAGAGTAAACAAAGAAACAAAAACAAGGACCTGGGTATCCTGTCCCTCCTACACATGTATAATTCCCATATGCAAAAATTCTCTTTGAAATCACTGAGATTCTAATTAGAAAGGAAACACAAGGAGATGGGAGTATCAAGCCACAGCTACAAGGTTTGGTCAAATACAGCAGAACATCCATAGTTGATCATCTCCCTACATTGGCCACCTCCTTAAGTTGAATGACTTTTCATAGATCAGACATGCACATATCAGAAGACTCTCTGATGCTTAGATTGACCACTTTCATATGTCAACCAGTTTGTTATCGTCCCTTGGGGGATTAATTTACAGAGGTTCCAGTGTAATTGGTATTACATGGTAACACCAATTGGTAATTGGTATATTATTAATCCTGTGCTTCTCTTTCTGCCTTTAGCCAAAAGGAAATAAAAAGAGTGGAAACCTAATCCATTAACCTGTCTTATAATTAGTCTTATAAGATTGGAGTGATGTCCAAGTGCAGAGAAAAAGAAATAGGCTTTGTGAACTGTAGTGAGTTTTAACCTGCTATATTCTCCCTCTACCAGAAGCAAATAAGAGTCACACTAAACTGTTCCCGGACATCAACATTTTAAACTGTTACATTAAAAAAAAAAAAAAATAACACTTACTGTTCAGGGGTTCAATAGGCGAAGTTCAAAGTCAAGGGAATGGTCTCTCTTTCTTTTGTGAAAAACACCATATGCTCTTGTTGGATCAGGAGGCTCACTGGTCTGTTATTAATAACTGGCTTACAGCTTTATGAAGAAACATGAGCCAGAATGTCACAGGAGGAGGCAAGTGGAAAGTAATTGACAGACACAGGTGGAATACATTATAACAAAAATATACTTAATACCCACAGGAGCTTAAATAACCCATGAGAAGGGGATCAATTCCTCCCTAGTCAATAGACCCCCATGCCAAGTGTTCGAAAAGTTAAGCAACCAAGAAAAATAACCTTAATGTTAAAGACAGCCACGATTTATTTAATGTTATAGTATCCTTGACTCTTCTGAACAATTGTTCTCCGTGAACATCTGAATATCTTTTCAAATTTGTATGCTTTACTTTGTTTATACTGATTTCTATTTTTAAAATATATCAAGAAATGGATTTTCAAACATACACTATCAATTTTTTGAAGTTTGTTTATCTGTGAGTATATTAGTTTCCTACCCTTAAGGACCCCCAAACAATTCCTGGAAAAGTAGAGGTATATGTGGGGTTTGAGAGGTGCATGTTGGCATTATATCATACGTAAAAGGAAACCTGTAGAGGTGACGTCATAAGAAGGCAGGTGTAGTCACGGCCTGGCCCTTGGTTTGTAGTGGCTATTATCTTTGAAAAGCTGTATTTCAAAAAAATTCCATGCCTCTGCCTCCCCTCCCGTCGTAACAGATGTCAAATTGTTTAGACCATGAACAGCATCTCTGTAGACCTAAATTACATTACGCCTGGCCTCTGTCTAAAGTATTAAAAGAAAACTGACAATTAGACACAAGTTTTTGAAACATGAAGATTGCTTCATTCTTTTCTTCTTCTTCTTCTCTTCTTTTTTTTTTTTTGCAGTTTTTGGCCAGGGCTGGGTTTGAGCCTGCCACCTCTGGCATATGGGGCCGGGCCTTACTCCTTTGAGCCACAGGTGCCGTCCCCTTTTTTTTTTTTTTGAGAGAGTGAGAGAGTCTTACTCTGTCATGATGGCATCATCATAGCTCACAGCACCTCAAATTCTTGATCTCCAGCCATCCTTTTGCCTCAGCCTCCCAAGTAGCTGGGACTACAGTTGCCTGCCACAACACCTGGCTAATTTTTCTATTTTTATTAGAGAGGGGGTCTCGCTCTTGCTCAGGCTGGCCTTGAACTCCTGAACTCAGGTGATCAGCCTCCCCCAGTGCTGGGATGACAAGCCTGAGCCACCGCGCCTGGCTGCATTGCTTCATTCTTAAGGCTTCTGCCTCTCACTCGGGCTTCCACCTGGGAACTGTCCTATTTTCAAACTAAACCCTTTTTCAACTGAACCCTATGGTGGGTAGGGGTGGACACCTCACTACAAACCTCAAACAGTGGAGTGTTATGATGCTGGGGTAACTGTTAAAAAGAGAAACTAATAAACCAGTGACGACCAGTTTAACAGATGGGTGAGAAGAAGTAGAGCAGATTTAGGGACTTCAGTGTTTTCTTTTCCATACTAGTTATTTTTAAATAAATTTTGAGCATCCACTGAATATGTATCTTTAGTTATAGAACATATTCATGTACTACTGTAAATATATTATTTATAGTCTAAAATAAAAGAGTAAATTTTAAAAGAAATAGATATTCTAATCTTCTCTCACTACATTTCCAGAGGGTCATCTTTATCGGTGCCTGAGGCATGAACACTCAGTTCCGCTGAGGCCTGGGGAGGATTCTGAACCCTAGGTCTACCACTTGTTTATAAGCTGTTTGGGGTTGAATTGTGTCCCCTAAAATGATAATCCTCAGTACTTGGGAATGTGAACTTCTTTGGAAATAGAGCCTTGCCGATGTAATCGAGTCAAGATGAGGTCATGTTGATTAGCATAGGCCCTAATCCAGTGACCTGAGTCCTTATAAGACGTAAATTTGGACACAGACAGACATATAAGGAGAACTCTATGTGGAAACAGATACTGGAGTGATGTGTCTATAAGCCAAGGAACACCAAGGTCTGGGGACAACTCTGCTAGAGAGAGGAGGCAAGGAGGGATCTTCTCCCAGGGCCTTCAGGGAGAGGATGGCCTTGGTGACACCTTGATTTTAGACTTTTAGCCTCCAGAACTGAGATAATACATGTCTGCTGTTTATAAAGTTAAATTTCTAATAATTTTTAAAAAAATTCTTATAAGAACTAACCCAAATGCTTTAATAATTCAAGTTCACAAAATTTAGGCAAATCTTTAGAAAATTAGACTAGTTTAATATCGTTGTTTAATAAAAAGAGCTGTCTTCTGAAATATCAGAATTAAATGTAATACAAGCAGACATCTATATTCCATTTTGGCATTCCTGGATTTACATGGGTTTACTAATTCAATAATGTGGCATTAACATTCCTCAGATATTGATGAAAACTGGAGATTTGTGTTTAACCAAATCGAATCATTCTGATAAATTTCACTTCAATAGTAGTTATGTTTTGTGGTATGTCCGCTGAAAGATAGTTGTGAAGTTCTTTTAGTCACTTAAAACTTATGCTAGATTAATTAATGGATATCCATTAAATATCCGTTAGATGATTTCTCACAAAATAAACTACTGAAATATTAATTACTGAGCATAATTTTAGGGATCTACAAACTTTGCCACATTACAAAGATGCACTATGAGGATGTATAAGGCTATAAAACATTGAGAGATGTACATGCGTAAGTTCTGCTACAAAGTTAGGATATATGACAGTTCACAAATATCCACCTCATCGGCATCTCTGAGAAATAGAAGTTACTATCATGAAAAGTTATGATCAATATATGTGAATGAGACTCTTTAGGGTTCTTCCAGAACAAGGAAGAAGAACAGGGTGCACAAAATCTGAATGGATATAGAAAGCAGTAGAAGGTACACAGGAAGGGGATTTTTTTTTTTTTTTGAGACAGAGTCTTACTATGTTGCCCTCAGTAGAGTGCTGTGGCATCACAGCTCACAGCAACCTCAAACTCTTGGGCTTAATCGATTCTCTTGCCTCAGCCTCCCAAGTAGTTGGGACTACAGGGGCCCATCACAATGCCTGGCTATTTTTTGTTGCAGTTGTCATTGTTGTTTAGCTGGCCTGGGCTGGGTTCAAACCCACCAGCCTTGGTGCATGTGGCTGATGCCGTAACCACTGTTCTATGAGTACCGAGCCACAGGAAAGGGATTTTATCTGTCATTGTCAAAGCTGGCTTATGATTCAATAGGTTTATTTATCAAATTTTCTTAAAAAGAGATTTAGTATTTGTCTGGGTGTGGTGGCTCGTTCCTGTAATCCTTGGGAGGCTGAGTCAGGAGGACTACTTGGGCCCAGGAGTTCAAAAAAGAGATTTAGATTCAAATATTATGCTGATGCAAAACTAAAATTTGGTTTTTTCTCTGTTCAGTGACAAAATTTTCTTGAATTATCAATATACAGTAGAACCTCCATAGTTGGCCACCTTCCTACACATACTTCAGTTGACCTAATTTTCATGGCCCAGACATGTAGTTATCAGTACAGCAGGCCTAGAGCCTCATGTGCACCACCTCTATATGTTGACCAGTTTGTTACAGTTGCTTGGGTGGTCAATTTACAGAGGTTCTACTGGACTTCCTAAGAAGTTATAAAGGCTTTTATTTTTTTAACTCAGTTCTGCCTAAAAGGCAAAAATTCTGTCTTAATAGAATAATTTATTGTGCTTTATGTTGACTGATTACTCCAAAGAATGAAATCTTCTCACTTTTGAAAGAACTAAGATCCTCATAATCCTGTTATCTCCTATGCTTCCCTTTAAAATTGTCTATTGTTACTTTGGTTTTAAATTGACTCTAGGCTGGGTGTGGTGGCTCATGCCCGTAATTTTGGAACTCTGGGAGGCTGAAGCAAGTAGATTGCTTGAGCTTACAAATTTGAGATCAGTCTGTGAAAGAATGAGACCCTGTCTCTACTAAAAATAGAAAAAATTATCCAGGTATTGTGGTGGGTGCCCGTAGTCTCAGAATACTTGGGAGGCTGAGGCAAGAGGATCACTTGAACCCAAGAGTCTGAGGTTGCTGTGAGATAAGATGATGCAATGACACTCTACCCAGGGCAACAGAGTGAGACTCTGACTCAGAAAAAAAAAAAAAAAAAAAAAAAAAAAAAAAAAAATATATATATATATATATATATATAAAAAATTTTGGTTTACATACCACAGAAACAACAAATTTCATGGCCAATTGCATTAATTTTGTAGTGAATTCATCAGATCTTTCACTTTTGAAAATTATTGTTACTAAGTTTGCCATAGTCATTTTAAGTTTTGTGTCATCTACAGATAGTTTTTTGTTTTATTTTGATGATTCCCTGAAAACACTTACAAATTAGAGTGTTTTGACATTAACAAAGGATGGTCTCAGAGTAACATAGGAAAGGACTACACCACATACTCTTGGGCACAGGCTTCTGATAATTTTGCTTAGATAAATCTGAGCCTGTAGCATTAGGCTGATTTTGGATTTCCAGCATTGTAATCAAGAAGCACATGGGGTTCTGAGACTACTGACCTGAGACGGAAAAGAACATGAGTTAGAACGGAGTGAACTGATGAGGAATGATTTGGATTTTGTTTGGAATGTTGCTGACCCTTTAATATTCTATTTTCTGGATAGAAGGAA